TCATTTCAACATTGTGTTTTACATGTGATTCTTATATTGATTTTTGAAATAAGATTGTGTTATGGTGGCAAACATTATGTTGCAATAAGATTACGTTGCGTTGGTAAACATAATAATGCATTGGCAAACCTAATAATACATTAGTATTTGATTTGTGTTTTTTTTTTGGGTAGCAAACTCGGGACAATGATTTGTTAGAGGTGTACAAGAATTTCGTGATGTTTTATGTAAGTATGCCATTCAATGTGGGTTTCAGTTTATGTATGTCAAGAACGAGACAACAAGGGTTACTACTGTGTGTACGATGCGTGAGGAGAGAGGTTGCTCGTGGGCTATACATTGTAGAGCACAACGAGCAAATGATTTTTTCTACATCAAGAGTTTTAGTAATGTGCATAGTTGTGGTACGGATGTCCGAACATCGAAGAATGCGCGAGTTAGTTCTGATTTGGTGTCGAGTACCATATCTGAAATTGTGAGGGACAAGCCGTTGACTTGGCCGTGTGGGGTGGTGACTATTTTGAAGAAGGATTATGGGCTTGATGTGAGTTACTATGTGGCATGGTTTGGCGTGGAGAAAGCAAAGGCTGTTATTCATGGAGATCACTCATTATCGTTTGACCAGTTGCGGTGGTATTCGGCTGCTATGATGCGTTACAATCCGGGGAGTTATGTCAATATTGACTATGATGCGAGTAGTCAACAATTTTGTCTTTTCTTTGTATCATTCGCTACGTGTATGTCTGGGTTCAATTCTTGTCGGCCTTTATTATTCCTAGATGGAACATTCCTCAAAGGAAAGTACAAAGGTCAGCTGCTTGCGGCAACGACGAAAGATGGAAACAATGGTTAGTGTTTTTTTTAGCTCTCTATTCATGTAAATATTCACATTGAGAACTTTTACACTAGTGTTAATGTTTACATCAATACAAATTGATGTCAACAACAACATAATATGAGTGATTGACAAATTAACAGTAATGTGAACATTCATATTACTATACACTGATGTGTATGTTCACATCAATGTCTACTAATGTGAGTTTATCAATTAATGAACATTAATGTGAATGTTCCCATCATTGATGTTTACAAACCCAAATCCAAAAACAACAATAGTAACAAGGCAATGTAGATATAAACATCCACATGATCTGTTTGCTTTATATTATTTTCTATTCACTTTGGAATATTGTGAACAGTTGTGTAATGGTGTGTTGTGTTGTAGGTCTATTTCCTGTTGCATTTGCGATTGTTGATTCTGAGACCACGGCCAATTGGTCATGGTTCTTGCATGAACTTGGGAAGGTTGTTGATGGTAAGCGCCAGATTACTTTTATTTCGGATCGTAATCTTGGTCTGTTAGAAACTATACCAAAGGTGTTCCCATCGGTTCATCACGGTTATTACTTACAACACTTGAAGAGCAATTTAAGAGATTGGATGAAAGGAATTGATAATGAATTTAGGGATCACTTAGTTAGTAGTTTAGGTGACTGTGCTTACGAGCCAACTGTGATAGGGTTCTATGAAAAGCTTGCAATATTAAAAGAGGAGGGTAAGCAACGAGCACATAATTTTTCCAAGGGCTTGGCACCTGAGCATTGGGCAAATTCATACTTTAGGTAATAGTAGTTTCCTAATATATTTCATTTATCAAGTTTAGAATGGTAACGATATGAAGTTTCAGTTATGTTTTGGGGCAATGTGAAATTTCATATTCAGTTTCGAAGAAATTAAATTTCGTATAGTACAATGTTTGTGATGTTGTGCAGGGACATGCGTTATGGGGAGATGACATCCAATGCGGTGGAGTCATTTAATAATTGGATTAAAGAAACACACAATCTTCCTATCACTCAAATGGTGGACACAATTCGTACGTAGTTGATGCAGCAAATGTCTGCACGGCGTGACTAAGCAAATAAATGGAATGAGCTTATTTGTCCTACATTCAAAACCATGCTTATGGATTCGTTCAACGACAGCAGGTCTTGGCAAGTTAGCAAAGCTAATAAGGATGTGTTTAAAGTTCATTCGATACCATCTATTACAGTTGATATTGCAAGGCGTACATGTTCTTGCTTCAAATGGCAAATCAACGGATTCCCATGTGACCATGCTGTGATTGATATTCAGAAGAGTCGCTACAAGCTCAATGATTGTGTGGAACATTACTTTCATGTAGAGACATATCGTGCAGCCTATTCGGGTGCCATATTCTCTATACTATCGGTGGAAAAGCCGCCTTTTGATCCCACAAACTTCACTATATACTCGCCAACTGTGAAAAGACCACCCGGAAGGCCGAAAAAGAATAGGATCCCATCAAGGGGTGAGAAACTGAAGTAAATAAGGTGCGGGAGATGCGATAAGTTGGGGAGCCATAATCGGAAATCATGCAATGAGCCGATATAGGATGTACATTTTTCATTTTAACATTGTGTTTTATATTGGATTCTTATATTGATTTTTGAAATAAGATTGTGTTGTGTTGACAAACATTGTGTTGCAATAAGATTACGTTGTGTTAGCAAGAAGAATAATGGTTTGGCAAACTTAGTATTTCATTTGTGTTTTTTCTTTTTCTTTTTCGGTACGAAACTAATATTTTGTTAAAGTTTTAATGATGAATACATGATGTGGACATTCACACTTGCGTAAAAGAATTATATTATGTGAAAACTTGCATATGGGTTGAACTTTTTTACATTATTGTTGTCAATGTTGACATGAATATAAACTGTGATGTGAACTTTCACATGCATAGAGATTGACATGGTGTGAACATTCACAACTGTTATGAATAAGAACAAATGTGAATATTCACACCTGTGTATGTTATCTGTAATGATGTCATGTAGACAATGTGTACATTCCTGCACAAAGTATGTGTAATACAGAAAAATCGAGTTCAAAAAATCGCATCAATTATGGTCATCACAACACAGTAGTGTGAATATCATAAGTGATTATGAACATTCACATCAGTGTTGTAACTGTGAACATTCACATCTGCAAAATATTAGTGCATATGAATATCGTAAGTGAATGTTCATATTTAGCAGACAAGAATAACATTCACAACTGTTATGAACGAAAACAAATGTGAATATTCACACATGTGTATGTGATCCGTAATGATGTCATGTAGACATTCCTGCAAAAAATATGTGTAGTATAGAACAATCGGGTTCAAACCATCGCATAAATTATGCTCATCACAACACAGCAGTATGGATATCATAAGTGAATATGAACATTCACATCAGTGTTGGAACTGTGAACATTCACATCTGTAAAACATTGGTGCATATGAATATCATAAGTGAATGTTCACATTTGGCAGAGAAGAATACCATTCACAACTGTTATGAATAAGAAGAAATGTGAATATTCACACATGTGTATGTGATTCGTAATGATGTCATGTAGACCAAGTGTACATTTCTACACAAAATATATGTATTATAGAACAATCGAGTTCAAACAATCGCATAATTTACACTCATAACAACACAACAGTATGAATATCATAAGTGAATATGAACATTCACATTAGTGGTGCAACTGTGAACATTGACATCTGTAAAACATAACAACACCAAAGGTAGATCAAAATTCACAAGTGGCTTTTTTCCATTAATAGATGTTGTATCACTGTTTTACAATCAGTTGTTGTGTCAAAATGTGAAAGCATTTGATATTAACATTCATATCGAGTGTTGGTTAGTTTCTAGGTGGACACCCCCCCACCTATAGGTTTTAATGATGTTTTGATTTCTTATGATTCAAAAAATTATGTACTAACAAATCTCGTAGTCTACACCATTCTGAACTAGTGAGGCTGCCCACAATTTCTTCATGGTATATGTGCGCCCGCATGATGTGACATACTACAGGTCCGCAGTCCACTCTGTAAATGCAAAATGGTTTTGATTAGCAGTTGACATGTATGTTTGCATAATGGTTATGGAGAATTTGTAAAAAGTGTAGTGAGGCTTACGAGTCGTTGCCCTACCGAGGACAGACATCAACTGATATGATTGGTTGTGCTGGATATTGGCTTGCTAATTTAGTGCATAGTGGTGATGACTCGCCAATAACGTGCACAACATGCTCGATGTACTTCCTCTGTGTAGGGAATTTCAAATTAGGCACCAACAAACATATGTGTGTGTACAGTCATTTAATGCATGAGAACAAGTCATGTTTGTGTTCAAAAATAGCCACTTATAACTTTCTGTGCTTGGTCGATATGCGGGTCATGTATGCTTGTTCTTGGGCGCAATGAGTTGTAATGCCTCCACAAATTGTCTTTAGCATCATACACAACTATCGTCCAGTGGAAGTCATGGTGTAATGGGAATAGTAGGTATTTCTCTCCTTGATAATTTTTGACATGTGCATCAATGTGTTTACTCCTTTTGCGAGGATGGTACTCTCGTATCACTTTCTGTACACATTGGACAAATAATTAATGGACTGTGAAGTTTCACATTCATAGTAGAAAAAAATAGAATGATAGATTTTACCAAACACATGCTCGTGAAAATGAATGACGCTTCATCTGAAGTTGGGTTGACCACCTCTTGTTGTTCATGTAATAGTTCGGCATATGCATCTATGAGCTGCACAAACATAGGGTCATATTATATTATTTGTGGTGGGTGAACAATGTGTGTCTGTGGCTGTGGGTATGTGTATGTGTGTCTATGTGTATATGCATGAAGAGTGAATCATCTTGGTAATGACATATATTACTGTGTATCGATTCCTCCTTGATAAGGTTGACAATGTCATCAAAATACACATGTGTAGACTTCGAGTCTCCTTTTCCATCACAAGCAGGCCTGCGCATTTTAAACAAACCAATGTGAATATTAACATTGCACAGATCTGAACAAATCAAATAAATAAGCACAGTGGTGAATATTGACAATTATGGAATGTGAATGTTGACATTAGGTGTTTGTACAGTCACTTACTCATCGCCTCCACTCTTTTGTAAAGCCTGGACCTTTTGCTTGTCTTGTTTGGACATCTTGCTCCAGACTTTGAACTTGTTGGTCAAGGTTAATTTTTTGGTGCTTCGCTGGTGGGTGTTTGTTCACATCTTCAACCATTTCGACTGTATAGGGCTGGCTTTGGCCAGGTAAGTCTGGATACTGGAAGTCAAGCAAGCGATGTTCTTTTTGATCTTTTTCTTTTATACGCTTCACCCTAGAAGGTGGGTTGAAATTGTGTTGCATTGGGCTAGGGGGTTACTTCTGTGCCACAACCTATGTAACAATGTGGACTGATTGGTCATCTTAAAGGTCCTGAAGAATTGTTTTCTCGCATTCTAAGTCGATGACTAGCTGCGTTAAGCGTTTTATTTCTTCATCCTTTTGCTCCATGCACTTTTTTATTTCGGTATTCATGTTGGGTGGGCTTGACTGGTTGAACAATTTATGTTCAAGATCAGCTATGACTCTTGCCCTTAACTCCCATGAGAATTGAAGGTGTCTGTACTTTGCTTCCCATTGCCTTATGACATCCCAAGTCTTCCGATTTTCTTTGATAAGCACATCAATAAAATCAGGTTGATTTGTGTTTGGTATGACAATAGCTCTCTTATCATATGGGCTGCTAAACGGAATGTGAATGTCCTCATTACTGTCCTTTAGCTCCACTCCATCCCCAGAAAATTGGGAGTTGCTGCCATTGTGTTGTTCTTCCTTGATGTCAGATAGGTTGGGAGATGTTATGGCTGGTTCATAAATTTCGGGCTCCACCTTCAATGTTTTATGCCTGAACTTTTGTAATTCTGTTGGGGTTGCAAAGAGTTCACCGGCATTAACCTGAAAATGAAAAAATTATGTTATTTAACGTATATATTTGGGTGGTGTTATAATGTGAATGTTTTGATCAGTAGTTGAAGGCCCTACTTCATTAAAACCAATATCAGCTAAAGAGGTGGTTTTCATCTTCTTTTGTAAAGCAGTCAGATCCCATTTGACACAGTGAGGAAAAGCATTGGGCTTGTGAGGTTGTAGGATGGTTGTGTGCTCATATAACTAATACTTCAATAAAACAACAAAGACATATGTTATTTAGCATTTGCATAGTAATCTCAACATATGTGAACATTAATAACAGTGGCACTGTTGTGAACATTCACAGTAGTATATCATGAGTGAATATGAACATTCACAGTAGTGGTACAGATGTGAACATTCACATCTGTGAAACATAAGTTCATATGGACATTCACATCAGTGGTACAGATGTGAATGTTCATAGTTGGCTTAGATAAACAGCATTGAAGGACATGTGAATGATATTATTTGACAACATGGGTACTTATCATCAATAACATGACACAGCCGGTGACTTTTGCCGGCTTGTTGTCGTTTTGGAAAATTGACGATGTCAACGTTGTTCTAATTTGCTTGGCCTAATCATATTCTTGCATGCTTTCCAATGGGACCATATGTGCGTAATAGCCCCATACTATTGTCTCTCCGCTTGTTGAGAAAAAAAAGTTTTTGGCAAGCATACATGCAGACTAGTTGGGCGACTTTTTCGTTCAAAATGGTGCGTATCTATTTTGAAGTCAACTGGCTGACATTTTTGCACCTTTTGTTTATAATGCCAGTCTTTGGTTTCACACCATATGATATGTCCATCGACTTGATGCCACAGTCCACACCAAAAATTAGCTTGATGTCGCTGTCGTGTATGTTCATATTCTTCTCCTCAATGTAGAAGGCATCTTTTGAAGCTTTGTACATTTGTAAGACATGCACAACAACATCATCGTACTTCATGCATTTGTCAAGGTCGATCTTACTGTTTCTCAATGCATCTAACAAATGCCAAAAAGGGGTTTGTTGCAGGCAGTC